AGCATCTCTACCAAGAGTCCAACAGTAGTCTGCAAGCATGGAAGGATTCCACTTTCCCTGGTACCTTTTTTCCAAAAGTCCAGGTGTGTGTGTAGGAAATGTATCTTAAGATCTTTTGATACGATGACAGGATATTTTTGTCAAGGGTTTTATAGTTGTCAGCTTTTCTATTTCCCAAGAAATTAGTGACCACCAGACGGAAATCATTCCAAGCAGTTTTTTCAATACCTGTTAAAGTGTTTTCAAACTGTGTATTTTTCAAAATATTTCGAATCTGTGGCCCAACAAAAATACCTTCTTTAACCTTTGCCTCACTTAGTCTTGGAAATTTCTGACGCAGGTATTGAAAAGCTGACCCATCTCTATCTAATGCCTTGACAAAGTTTTTCATTAGGCCCAACTTGATATGCAGTGGTGGTAATAAATTTTTTTTCGAATCTACTAATGGCATATGCTGTACATTTTTTTGACATGGCTCTAGGAATTGACGAACAGGCCAGTTTTGTCTGGTGTAATGAAGTGCCTTTGCCCGACTGTCCCATTCACACAAAAAACAGCAAAACTCTGTGTGGCCTAGCTGCAGCTCAAGTAAAAGTGCAACAACTTTCAAATCGCCACAAATATGCCATTGGTGCTCATCGTATTTTATGCATGTCAATAGGTACTTCATATTGCAATATGATTTTTTCATGTGAACTGCATACCCTACAGGAAGAGATGGTAAAATATTTCCAATATGCAATAACACTACCTTTAAACTCAATGTTGAACTGTCTATAAACAATCTCCATTCTTCTGGGTTATAGTTTATATTTAAAGCCGCCAGTAAGCCGTTAATGTTACTGCAGAAAACCAAGTTATTCTCCATATTGAAAAATGGTTCTAAGTCTTTGTGGCGTTTACGAAAAACACATACCGAAACATCGTCTTCTAACGAGTTCCACTGCTGCAGTCGTGATCCAAGTAACTCTGCCTTACATTTTGTAAGTTCTAAATCTCTTACAAGATCATTTAATTCTGACTGTGTTATTTTGTGCGGTTGGTGGCATGACGTGCTCGGTATAAAATCAGGATCTCTTGACGTTGATGGCATATCTTCTTCCTGACGAATCACTCGATCGCCATGATCTGATTCGTTTTCTGATTCGCAAGTGTAGGATTCTGGGGGTTTTGGAATAGGATTTTCGTCACTGTGAGGCACAGGTCTCATCGCAGATGGTATGTTTGGGTAGTTAATAACCGATTTTTTTTTCTTGGACATACCTGTGGCTTGTCCAACACAAGGTACCATGCAAAAGTAACAATCATTAATATGATTTGTAGGCTCTCTCCAAACCATTGGGACAGCAAAGCGCATAGACCGTTTTTTGCCATTTAACCAGCTCCTCAGGCTTGAAGCACATGTATTACAGCAGATGTGGGGTACCCACTGTTTGTCTTGATCACCTAGTTTACAACCGAAATAAAGCTGATATGCCTTTGTTATTAGTGGAGTAATAGACCGTCTCTGAGACGCAAAAGTCACATCACCACACACGTAACAAAACTGATCTGGATTGTTTACACACTTTCGAGACGTCTTGCATGAACGCTGTCAGCCAACTGAGGAAAAAATGGCTAATATAAAACAATATAATGTACACGTATGTATAACGTAACACGATCATGCCGATTACATCATCTTTCCTTGCCGAATATAAAAATGTAGCACGTGCATTCTTGTGAATTACAGTATATTAACACTGTCACAGCAGGAACACATATAATTACCGTATCTCTAAAACTTGAACTAATATTGAAAAAATAAGTTTCATTCCGGTTTTAGCACATTAAAAATAGTAATATTTTGTTGATTTTATTTAGGATGTTTTTTGGCTGTTGATCAGTGATAATAATTAACGTCCTTTTATTTGTAATAATATTATAAGAGGTGAGATTCAGATACTATAGCTGTTCTACTACCTAATCTCCTTAACAATACGAGGAGTAGAAAAACTAAAAGTTTCAGGAAAATCAATACTTGTATACAACAGCGACAATAATAAAGCATAAATAGCCTCCTAAAGCACACAGACAAGACAAAAAGTTTGCTGGTGATCATCTTTTTCTTGAATTTGGGTAGTGAATTAGTTTTTTTTTAAAATCGTAAATATAATAATTTAAGATTGTAATAATATGACATTAAAGTAAAACAGGATAACATAAGGTAAACTTACAACATTATGATAAAATCTAGGATTAACATTTTGAAAATCGAAGGACTCCTTTCCTTACATACTCGCTTGATATTCCTTTGTGATTTGTCAACCCTCTCATATTACGAACAACCTCCGTCTTGCATCAAAATCCTCCCCGTTTTCCATCCGCCCTTCCAGTGTACACAAAGCGGGGTGGAGCGATTTAATTTAAAGTTGTGTCTGCACTATTAACTGCACGATAAGGAATAGCGGAGCAGAAACACGGTATAAGAAGAGCTATTTCGTACTACGGAACTCGCTGCTGAAATTTCTATCTGATTTCCATTATTTCGTTCGGTTCGTTTTAATATCTACTTCTAGGGCTCAAGTATCCGGATCTTAGATTTCAGGCACGTAATAGAGTTTTTGCTTTCATGACATACGATGGCACTGACTGATGCTAAACGTTTTTGCTGGTATCCATGATTATTATTTTTTTGCAGAGCATTCCATTATTATCAGTATCATGTTAGGTTAGTCCAATTTTATTATAAACTAAACTATAGATATATATATATATATATATATGTATATAACTTGAGACGTGGTCATTGTCGTCTAGACCAGTTAGGTGAAAAATTAAAGCTTCCGCCTTTTGTTGGGTACTTCGACAAAATTTAAGCAAAGAGGACTCTTTATACTTTTTTTAATTCTCTCTAACTTTCAATGGACTTTGCCATCATCATCAGGAGCTGCAATTACAATGATAACAGTAGCAACAAAAGTGTAAAATGAATTTAAATTGAATCAACTTACAGTAGTATGTGAGGATGTTGCTAATTGTTGTTTTCGTATTGGATGAGGGAAACGTCCAGTAAGATGGTGATAGCTGGATACATGGTACAATGGTTAAAATTATATAAAATATGACAAGAAAAGTTAAAGACAGATTAAAAATTATTTAGAAAACATTAGAGCATTACGTCGTGAAACCACTTGATGATTGCACAAAATGGTGGTCATGGAATAATGAGTGAGATGAACGTTTGACAGAAGGCCGAAGGTTGTCAATGTCTGTGGTGAAAGATGGAACGAATTGTGGGCGTGTGCCAAACGTTGCCAAATCACTTCAGATGATGTGATTTTCAGAATGTTATGTAAGAAATTGTTAAACCGACCAGAGGCAGTTGAATAAACTATATTTTAATTAATTTGAATTTTAAATTAACAATTATTAATAAATCGTGAGAACAGAATTATTAGATTTTGAGTGGAATGAAATTTGTTGGTGGAATCGGCCAAAAGACAGATTATATTTATGGTTGTGAAAAGTCGAAATTTGGGGAGATATGTAAGTTCTCCAATTTTTTGCAGTTTAGCAAATATGAGTAAATGACACTCAGTTGTTTAATATCTGTCTTTTTGTTGATACAGTTGTTATTCATGAAAATGTGGGACATTTCCAGGAATAAACGTTTGGAAAGGTGTTTTTCTTTATCAAGAACTTTGATACTTGTGTAATTCATAGAATGTCCATAGTTTTAGCATTTTGAGTGACACGCCATCGCTTCCTAAGGCATTCGATTTCAGAGACTGAAACATCGATTTTAAATCATATCGATTGGTTTAAACTTGAATTGATCACTAGAATAGTGATTCTTTTCATAATGCTCAATCTTCTCTGTCCATGAACAAATGGCGTTATTAAAAATGGAACAGAAATAATTCTTTAAATGTAGAGGAATATCGGTATTTTGTGACTGTTGGATACGCATTGATTTTAAGGATCTATAAAACATTTTTGAATCATTTTGTTGGCGGAGGGATAATAAATATGCTGCTTTTTCATATCTAATTTGACTTAAACTTGAATTTCTGAGCTCTTTGTAGCGATTCCAGGAATCTTCTGTCTACTCTCTACGGAATATATAATGCTCCAGGGAAAGTGCAAAATATCATTTCGAAATGATAAAATATCAAAATTTTCAAAGTCTCTGAATTTAACGAATTTTTGCTTAGGTTTTTTAGACGTCAAAGTTTTTTCACAAAATACTAAAAAATGATCGGTAAATAAATCCATATTTATAGTCCCAGAATTTGAACAGACTTGAAAATCGTTGATAAATATGGGATCCAGTAGGCTGCTCGACATACTAGTTATTCTAGAGGGTTCTATAATAACTTGATGGAACGCATACGCATTAAAACAATTTTCTAATTTATTGACTGAACTTAAAAGATTTATATTCATATCTCCAACAACTACCACATAATCAAAGTTGGGTACCAGAAAAGCGAGAGCATTATCAAAAAAATCAATGGCTTCATCAACATTGTTATGGGGAGGTCGATAAATTACCCCAAAGGCAACAGTTCGACCAAATAATTTCAATTTAATCCACATATTCTCAACACTAGGAAAGTAGCCAATATGGTTCTCAATTCTTCACAGAGCAAACCATTTCTCTCGTAAATGCCCACGGCTCCACCGTGACTCTCCCTATCTTTTCGATAGAATGTATATCCTTGAATATACAAAAGACTATCTAAGATGTTTTTATGATGGAGCTAAAATATCATAATCAGAATTTTCCAACATGTAGGCAAAACCAGATAGAGAAGACCGAATATTTATGTGACCAAATTTAAAAGGTTTGTTTTCTTTCATAATTTAGAATTAAATTTTGTATAGAAGATCCACTTCTCAAAATAAAACTCGTGATATGTGTTGTTGTTGGAAGAATTTGAAAGTAGGACATTTTTTATCAGTTGGATCATGCTTTGTATCATATTGTTTGTTGTACTTATGGTTGGCAGACACACAGTTACAACATTTGGTGGTTGATTGATTGCAGGAGGAAATGTTATGGTTTTCTCCACATTTTGAACATACATACACATTTTTTCGTTGAATGATTAAACCTTAAGCAATTCTTATATTGTTGTCATAAATGATAACATTTTCAAATCCTGATAAAATGTTTCCATTGTTGTTATCAAAAATATATCTAAATAATTTACCTGTCACTTCAGCAAAAATAATAATTTTTTGTGCGCAACATAATTAATATGAGTAAAGGATATATCTCCGTTAGACACAAAGTGATTTTGTTTTATAATTTCTTCTTGTACTGCTCTTTCGCTAATTTTTGCTCCGAACGATAACCAACTATTTGAATTTTTGGCTTGAACATTCTTGGTTCAGATATCTTGTAGGATGTAGGCATATTTTTTTCGATTTTTTGTTTAAGTTGGGTACGAACAAAATCTTGGACGTTTATTTCTACAGCTCCATTTCTGCAGTTTTTGACCTTGTCGATACCTATCCGAAGTTTGGAGATAATAGTGTCCTTTTCTACGACCTTGGTGGCTAATAGATCGTAGTGCTCTTGGAACCTACGATTTTCATTGGACAATTGATGAACTAGCCTATCTTTTTCAGCTAGTAATTCACTCAGTAGTTCAATTTTCTCATTAAGTGACTTAATTTCTTGTTTAAGTGCTACTTCCGTATTTTTGTCATTATTTGCTATAGTCCGAATTTCTTGATTTTGTGCTGTTCCTAAATCATTTTCATTTTTATTGACTATAATTTTATGGCTATCCACTTGATTTTTACCGTCTTCTTGAATTTTCTTTGCTCATTTTCGACTTTCAGTCTAGAGTAACACTCAGTACAGCGCTTCGCTTTTACCTGATTTCTGACTTCTCTGACTTTAACTTCTCGTGAATTTGATTGTCAAAAATTGTAAGTCAGATTCTCAAGATCAAAATGGCCGAAAGTGATATGCAAGCGAGCAGATACCTCACCAATGTTCCCAGGGGTATATTTCTTCCTTATGATGTACACTTCCTCAACAGATCAATTTTAAATGTCGTAGGACTGGTGATAATCATCAAAATACGGTAGGCTTTACAAATAAGTTTGTAGCAAACTATCTTGTATATGTATAAAATAAGTAGTGCAATCGTTAAAAAAATTCAGCAAATGAGAACGAGTGAAAGTATAGGTTATTGCTTGTATGACCATTCTATAGAGCAGAATTTTGCTGATCAAACTCAATTTGAAATGTCTACAAAATAATGGAAAAGGTGCCAAAACATTAATCAAATCCAAGCGAATAACCAAAATTTCTGTGTTATGTGCCGCGGTTATAATATGGTTCAAGATGACACACGGGTTGATGACGTCAGTTACACGGATCGCTTGAACGCGTTGGTTTTAACCGCGGTTTTCTTGCAAGTTGTTTATTTTAGAAAAGCGCGAATATAATCTCTGATTATTTTTATTATCACTTAATAATCGGTGCTTTTTCGTCTGGAAACTTTATATGGAAACTTTAAATAAGAAACCTTTCATAATATTCATGGGAGAAATGTTTTTTTCAGATTTTTTTTTAATGATGGAACCATGGCTTTGTAGCTATGATAACTTTCAATTCTCTAAATTTTTCCGCATGTCAAAGAAAACATTTATTGATTCAGCAGAAATGATGAAAAAAGAAATTAGCAAAACCGTATACAGGTGGATATCATCTAGTGAGTTTATATGGCCATATTTTAATATTCTTGTGGTATATGGCTACACAGGATACTTTGTTAAGCATAGGAACTACATTTAAAGTGTCCCCAACAACCGTAATGAGTATAACTAATAAGGTGCTCCACTTTATGGTAAAACTGAAGTCAGCCTGTATCATTTTTCTCAAAAATGAAGCTGAAGTACAATAACAATATCCAATACCCGGCAAAATTCTAACTTGTCACATTTCAAATAATAACCAGAAATATAAAACTACTCTTGAGTTGGGTAAATACCACAATTTTGCGGTGATAACTATGACATATAACAGCTGATTCGTGACGTCACGGATCTTATAACCAAACTGATAACTACACTCGCTTGAACGGATTGGTAAATACCAAGCCAAAATGGTAAATACCATTTCCATTTGGTTAGCCGCTTGAATTTCATTATTATCTGGAAACTAGTTTTTAACGTTTCAGGATGAATCCAGAACGACACAATAGACATGGCCGATGTCGCTAATTCAAAACCGTGACATAATCACGACTTTCTAATCACGATGAGACTATGAATAAACTGATAAAGGCAAAAAAGATATCGCTTGCAGGCGATAGTAGTCTTACGATTCACGACCACAGCGGCTATCGCGTTACGCTTTTTCTTGGTATAAAAGTTACATATAATTCATGATTAAGAAATATCAGTTACTAAATCACAGTTCGTGATACATCTGCCACCACTACTGCACGAAATCCACCCACTGAAAGTTCTCAGCATCTACTCGTCTTCAGAAAAGCAAGTCACATTTTGCATATTTCTCCCAGCATTTATTTTATCCACTGTGTTGTCCACGTGATTGTAGTCAAAAGATCTCTGTCGACACTCGGCAGTCCGCCACAATTTCCCCGAATTTCCATACGAACAGTCAATATATTTTCCATTGTACCATGTTGTTTATGCAAGCTAGCTGTGTATATGCATTCCATTTATGTGTTTGCGTTATGCCGGGGTGTATACGTCACCCTTTAGTACACAGGAAATTGTCCTTGATCTTAGTATGAATAGAAGGTGATGTGTTAACCGCAGGGCGTTCTCGGGAGCTAGTTAGCATAGTCTATATCGTGTGGTATGATAATAAGGGGGTATAACGGGTTGATTAACGAGACATTCGATCTCGCGCTTTATTTTTTTCTTTTTACACTCCAACTACCACGAAGGCCTAAGGCCTAAACACCCATTTGGTACCGGGGCGCTATAGGGGGATACAGGGGAAAGGGGGAACGCCACACGGACTCTGGCGAGGGAACATGTGTGCATGCAGCATGCACACATTCTGGCTCCGCCTACGAGATCCGCCGGGTGGTACCTCCGCGTTCGACAGTCAGAGACCGGGATGGGACTCGGACCCGCACAGCGCACGGCGACTGATCAGGAGACCGAAGAGTCTACTACTGCGGCCACCGCAAACAAAGGGAGTATTTAATATGTTACTGATAGATCCCCTCCTGCTTAGCATACAGGGAAGACATCTCTATATCTAAATAAAAATGCAATTTCGGTGTGAGCAGTTTGTACCACTTAGATTTATCAAGTTTTAAAATAATCTCTCCAAGCTGGCGGTCATTAGCAGTTACACACTGTTGACGACGTCGTGGAGTTTTTCGATAGTTTCAAGTGTGGTTGAGGTTTTCAGTGTATCTGCGACAACGTTCTAATTTACCTGTTTACTTTTTAACAGTTGAAAACGAAGGAGCATGGTTCGGTTGTAGCGTACCAAAATCATATTACTTTTTTCTACTATTTTGATCACTTACCAGTAATTTTAACTTGTCTTTATCAAAGATAGAGTACTGATCCCTAGGCCAAACCTGTTCAATCATTTTCTTTTGGCAAATTTTGTAATTTATTGATCTGTGGAGCGTCGAATTTTGGAACGCCCTCCTACTTGTGCCATTGATTGACAGTTTAACTTCGTGTCTGTCATTTTTCCCGTTGAAGCGTCGGTAAGTCTTTATTTGATTTTCAAATTTTGGAATATTGGGCCTCAATCACCAGTTTATGGAGTAGCACCCTTTTTTGTACCTACCTTACGTTTATTTTCTTGTTTTTTTTGTGCTACTCTCTCGATTTTTAACCTCTTCAGCGGTAAGTTCCTTTTTTATACCATCTGACCACGTGCATTAATGCATGTCCAAAAGATTTGAACACTATACTGAGTCTCTAAGAACTAAAGATATATGTGAAATTATACTTTCCAGATTAGGTAGTTTCGAACACAGTAGATCAATAGATTATGAAATTTGCCAATAGAAAATCATTGAAAAGGGTTTGGCTCAGAAATCAGTACTCTATCATTAATGAAGAGGAACTCAAATTACTGGAAGTTATCAAAATACTAGAAAAAAAGGTTATGTGATTATGGCACAACAGGGTATAAGAAGGTGATATGAGGCAGCCTGCGCTGTAGCCACATATGAACATGTGTGACGTCTTTCTCTGGGAAAGAAAAAGATGTTTAAGTATTCTTCTCACATCCTATTTGGGCTAAGAAAGCGAGTTGTTGAAGCAGTGAACGCTACGTGTCAACCAGCTGTCCAGAGCTGTAGGAGTCGTCTCTCAACAGTATGATGCAACTAACAACCGCCATCTTGGAGACATTAGAAGTATACAGATGGTTTTCATATCCTATTTAATCTGAGTAGTCGGTTTCATCACACCCTGTGGAATAAATAGTGAAACTAGTCCAGATAAGAAAATTACCTGCCTTCTATACACAGATACAGATTCATTTATATTTCTATGAACCATAGGTATTGCCGCTCAAACATCGTAAATGCCCTTGAACTATTTGCATCCCCAGTGGAGGTAATTACGTTTTAAACAGGTCAAAACAATCGATGTTTAAGTGTATCGATTCATAATATAATAGAAGCACTACAACATTAAGCTTCTTACATGTACATACACATGTTATGCATTTGAAGTGAGTGAACTGGGAGGTAATTCTGGGAACCGGAATAATAAATCCACCTGTAATTTTGCTGATCACATAATCAGTTCATGTAACTATGCCATATATGTATATATATACTTTGAAGTTGAGTCATTAATTTTCAGATAATGATTGTAGAAGGAAGATAAACCAAAATATGTGTGTAAAAATAAAAAAAAATCAAAAAAAATTTTACCTTGTTTTATAAAGTATCCTCAAGTATTTCAGTGCGGACCTGTATTTGATCGTGAGGTCTTGGAGCACCGGCATGCAGTCCCCATGTGAGGTCTTAAGTCTCCTGATTCACGAGCCCGTTGTACTACATTAACAAAGGCACGAGGGGTTGGTTGCACTCGATTGGGAAACCGATCCGCATAAACATGTGCCATTTTTTATATCGTTTGAGCCACGCAACAGACACCATATCCACTCACTGACTGTGTACAACTGAATGAAATAATTGTAAAAACATCGTTCCAAATTCTTTCGCTTTTTTGTTTCCGATGCGATGAACCGATAAGGCGGATTATATCCGTTGTCGCCAAACATGAGCACATAATATTATTATTGAGACAGGGCGGTACTCAAACTTCCAAAGGGCTATAACTTTGTTACTTTAATTTTACCAGAAAAATGGTAAAGGAAAAAAACATTTCTTTTGATCAGATCTACTCACTGTTAAAATAAATGACTCAACTTCGAAGTCACCCTGTATGTATATATACGAGTAGTAGACATTGCCATTGCCAACGACCAGTTGGGCAAAAAAATACAATTAAATTGTTTATTGGGAATTAGCAAAACTTAAAGCGTAGAAAACTCTTTCTACTGAAATCTCAAGCTTTCGACAAACTATGTTGTCATCTTCAGGAGCTAAGACGCAAATATGAAAATGAGAGCCAGTTGGAAAAAAAAATAAATTTCAATCACTTATTCGTCGGTGAGGTTGCTGCTAAACGGTGTTTTAAAACTAAAGCGTGGATGAGAACACTTGTTTCGATTATAAAAACAAAAGACCGGACACATTGGGTTTGTTACAGACAGAACACATGGCTATGTGCTACTAACATCTGTCAATAAACCCAAACATGGAAAGAGTGATCAAGTTATTACAAACTAAAAACTACAGTTTTAGGAAAGAAAATTCCATTTATCACCGTATACCTGTTGCACGTGGTTAAGGAGAGTGAACCGGAAATATGACGTGGTAGACAAATGACAGATGTAGAAGTGTAGAACTATTGTCAACTTAAAATTCTCGGGATAGGGGCATTCGACAAAAATTTCACATATTTCTCAAAATGCTGAATTAGTTTTGTTTTGGCAAAGTGCACCTCATATAGAATTTATGATGATAACACACCAGAACAAAACATGGGTTGTGTGAAAAATATTTTTTTGAAAACTTGAAAAATTACTTGATTTCACGGCATATATTAGAAATATGTGAGCTAGTATTGTGAAGATGCTGGATTTACTGGAATATCTAGTCGTTCTAATTTTTCTCAGTTTAACAAGTAAGAATAAATGATACTAAGTTCAGCCGTTTTATTCGTACAGTGATCTGGCATGATAATTTCCAAAAATATGTTTTGCCAATTCCCAATAAATAATTTAATTCTATATATATATATATATATATATATATATATATTTAGATTCAAGATTATTAAAACCTAGATTTATCCGATAATGGCAAACAGTTGGAACAACGGTATCACAATGTATTTATGTATTCGTATCAATTTGAAATATTGTAAATCCCTAAATGTTTAATTCGAATCGAATGATGGTTCGTGGAATCGTCGATGTAAATTAAACCGTGACCTCGAATACTTGCGAGCGAGAACATTTATCTATTTTTAGAACTTTAAAATATACAGACAAAAAACGAATCAATACAATATGAATATGTGGAACATTACATTAGATTCAAAACGTTTAAAATCAGAACATTCATAGTCAGATACCAAAATGGACGAGAATAGCATGACGCATCGTACGTCACTGTGTTCAGTGGCGTACCATCGAATCGCTGGTCTCTTCTATTTAGGTACTTTACTATAATGAAAATTTTGCATCATGACCGAAGGGAAAGCTGAATTTTTATTTTGTTTCCAGGTGCAGTGGGAGGGGACGGTGACGATGGCGACGACAAAGAGAAGGAGGAGGAGGCCGAGAGGGAGCGACAGGAGGCAATCCGGGAGGCTGAGGAACGGCGGAAGGAAAAGCACAGGAAAATGGAAGAGGAAAGAGAAAAGATGAGGCAGGAGATCAGAGACAAGGTCAGTATGAACTTATTATCTCTCTTTGATTCGACACGTATGAATAAACGAGGCCAGCCGGTAGCGCGTAAATTCATCCAAAAAAGTACTAGATTAAAAAAATTTACTTGCGCTCTTCAATTGTCACAAGGACAGTCACTCTCAGAAACACTAATGCATACACCACCCTTCCTCACGCTCTCTAATTTTCAATTGCCTACACTCCCACGTCGTTTTCAGGGATCCTCCACCCCCAAGTATCCCTTTGGATCCGCTCCTTATTCACAAAGGCCAAAATGCTCATATTATAATACCTACTTTTAAAACTGTACGAGGCGTTTGATACAAAGCTTTTAAGGGCCGATGATACACCCCATTTGGAAGACATTAGGCTACATATACCTTAGTCTCAAAACGACCGCTTTGGAGTTATGCGCAACTTTGGGAAATCCAAGAATAAAGCCAAAATCATACCGTAAAATATCGGTCGTTCAATAATGAAGAGACACTCCTTCATTTTGCTAGTTGTATCATTTATCTTGATAACCTTGATGATGGGGCTCAAGCTCAAGTCCAAGGACAATGTTGAAAGTTACTTAAGGTTTAATCTGGATGTTTTCATCTATAATCCTGCTGACTTCTAGGAATCTTTCCTAGCCTCAAACATTTGACCTACACATGGCCTTAAGAGGTGACCCTGATCTTGATATTTGGTTTTCAGCTTTGACTGTGAAATAACCTCTGAGCCGAGGCTCAAGGTCAAATCCGAATTCATCTTTGAAATTAAGTGGAGACCTGGCATTGACCTTTCCCAAAACTACCTGACTTTTGAAAATATATAACCGTTATATTACTTTTGTTGCACCCCATGTATCACGGTAAGGTGAGACCAAAATTAATTTCAAGCTAAAAAGGGAATAACTCAATTTACTCGTATATTCACTTACCTTTCTCATTTGATATCGGTGAACTGGCTAATCAGTGACCCACATTTCATCTTATTAAGATACGTGTTGTAACTCCGGAACCTTACTCTAATATTCAGCTTCTTTCCGCGATGCCTCGAGCTAGATAAATATAATAAATAAATAAATAGCGTTTATCGCTCAAAAGTTAAGGAAACCATTTACAGGACATTACTAAGAAAAGATGAACCAAACTGACAAAAATATAAAACATATGAAAAGCAGGTGATTCTATCTAAAAGAAAAAACAAACATTAAAAAGAAGCAAAAAATACACTTTACTCAAGTGAGAAACATAATTATCATGAATTCTTTAAGTAATTCCTTGCTACTCCTAGAATTCTGTTCAAACTGCCATTATATAGGGTGACTTTGAAGTTGAGTCATTTATTTTAACAGTGAATAGATCTGATCAAAAGAAATGTTTTTTTCCTTTACCATTTTTCTGGTAAAATTAAAGTAACAAAGTTATAGCCCTTTGGAAGTTTGAGTACCGCCCTGTCTCAATATCATGTGCTCGTGTTTGGCAACAACGGATATAATCCGCCTTACCGGTTCATCGCATCGGAAACAAAAAAGCGAAAGAATTTGGAACGATGTTTGTGTACAGTTTATTATTTTATTCAGTTCAGTTATACATACAGTCAGTGTCAGTGTCGCGTGTGAATAGTGTCTGTTGCGTGGCTCAAACGAAATAAAAAATGGCACATGTTTATGCGGATCGGTTTCCCAATCGAGTGCAACCAACCCCTCGTGCCTTTGTTAATGTAGTACAACGGGCTCGTGAATCAGGTGACTTAAGACCTCACAGGGGACCTCACGATCAAATACAGGTCCGCACTGAAATACTTGTCGCGAGGATACTTTATAAAACAAGGTAAAATTTTTTTTTTATTTTTACACACATATTTTGGTTTATCTTCCTTCTACAATCATTATCTGAAAATTAATGACTCAACTTCAAAGTCACCCTGTATATACTAAGTTTAACCCAGTTTAAATGGTTTTATTTTAATAAAAGTTTGTGAATGTATTTATCTTACTGTAAATAACAAGTGAAAAAATTTTCAGTCTTATCAGAGTTGGACATTCCGGTTTTTATACTGCTTTTTTTCATTCACTAACGCTCTAAAAATGAATATTTCAGCCGCAGTAAAGAATCAACGTTGGCGGATTTTGGTTCTTGACATCCTTTAAGATCGGTTACGATACCTAGAGTACGGAGACCTGTACGATTTCGTCAACTTAGTGAGTTTGATAGGGGCCGTATAGTGGGACTTCGGGAAGCTGGGCTTTCTTTTCGGGCAATTGCAGTTAGAGTGCAAAGAAGTGTAGACACTGTGGTTAGGTGTTGTCAGGCATGGCTTCGAGAAGGCCATACGCAAAGAGCAAGGGGCACTGGACGCCGCCGTAGAACAACAGACCGTGAAGATCGCCGCCTAAGATTATTGGCCTTAAGGGACCGTTTCTCCACTACCAGGTCCATTGCAAATGAATGGTTTGCAGAACACGGAAGACCTATTGGCATGCGAAGTGTTTACCGACGAATGAGAAGTTTTGGCTTGTTTTCATACCGGCCACACTGGGTCCTCCATTTAACTCGAGAACACCGACGTAATCGCCTTGAGTGGTGCAGACAACGGTCACTCTGGGATCAGGAATGGAATAGTATTGTCTTTAGTGACGAGTCTCGATTTTGCTTAGGCATGCACGATGGTCGAGCCAGGGTTAGAAGGCGACGTGGTGAAAAGAGGAATCCACAGTTTTTTGTTGAAAGATATGTTCATCACACTGTTGAAGTTATGGTTTGGGGTGCTATAGCTTATGGTTCCAGGTCACCTTTAATCTTCATCAGAGGTAACATGAACGCGCAGCGTTATATCCACGAAGTTCTAGAACCCCATCTTTTACCCTATCTTGACACCCTGGCAGATCCAACTTTCCAACAAGATAATGCCCGACCACATGTTGCAAGAGTCACAATAGACTTCTTTCAACATAATGATGTCACATTGTTACCATGGCCACCAAGATCTCCCGACTTATCCCCAATTGAGCATGTGTGGGATATGATGGGTAGGAGATTGCTCAATTTGCAACGTCCTCCTCAGACTCTAGAAGCACTTCGAGAGGAGTTGGTGGTTGCCTGGAATGAGATACCACATGAGGACATTGACCACCTCATCAGAAGCATGCCTAGGCGCGTTGGAGAATGCGTAGCACATCAGGGTGCATCCACACATTATTAAAGATCAATGGGCTTTAAAGCAATGCAATCATTTTGAAATGTTTATCATTTACTTATTATGCTTCATTAAGTACTTATACAAAATTTTATTGAAATAAAACTATTTAAACTGGGTGTTCGGATTTATATGTCACTTAGTATATATCACAATAATTGGATATGCGATTAAAAATTTCACACATTGCTTTCAAAAATAAATTTGTGCGAGCCCCGTCACAATAAAAGGTTTTAACAGTATAGGTCCGAACAGATGGGTCATTAAAGCTTAGTTGAGGCACAATCTCGTTAGCATCAATTCGATTGTGCAGCAGATTGTGGAAGGAAATAATTACGTACACTTCCTTCTCAGCTCTAAAGACTGCATTTGGAACCTAGACAATAACAACCTTTCAGATATACCCTGCTCAGAATATGCACCGTCAACATTGAAAGATAAACGTTTGAGAAACGTTGTCTGAATTTGCTCAAGAGAATCAATGTAGCAGTTGTAAAGTGGGTACCAAATTAACGATGCATATTCTAATGTAATAATACAGGGTGTCCGCAAAGTTGGGGTTTTCCTTTACACGACGTGTAGATCTTGAAAACATAAGCAATTTTTCTTAGTACCATATACACCAATGTCTCAAGGGAACCGAGATAAAGGGCTCTGCAACATCAAAAATATCTGAATACCGTCCTGTAGCCGCGACCCGCGACATCCCCGAGTGGTATTAGGACACTAGCTCAACCCGACGACAGAACTGGGTCGGGGTCAGTGTGTCAGTTCAGTACGCAACCTTCAACCGACGGTTACGGTTACGCGTGTAGAGGTAAACGAACTCGTATAATCGATTGCGTTTCAAAAAAAAATAATGGCACACTCATACACCAATAATGAACTCGTTGATATGTTGTTAATTTATGGCGAATGTCTTTAAAATGCTACAGAGGCATCGCGAGTGTATGCAGATCGTTTCCCTAGACGACATCATCCAAGGCCCCGCAGATTTGTGTATCTGGTCCAGAGAGTCAGGGATACGGGCCATTTGGAGTAATTTCGAGGTGGGCACAGTGGGAGGCCTAGACAACCACGAATGGTGCAAGTTGAGGAAGAACTACTGAATCGCGTAGTTGAGAGTCCCTCAACAAGCACTAGAAGCATGGCTAGAGAAGTGCAAGTATCAAAAACTAAAGTGTGGCAAACGCTGCGTGAAGAGGGGCTGTATCCGTTCCACGTCCAATGTGTACAAGCCCTTCAACCTGAAGATTTTCCAGCAAGAGTGCGGTTTTGTGAGTGGTTGTTGCATCGACATGACAATAATCCAGACTTTTTGAAAGTGCGTATTGGTGACAGACGAATCTACGTTCACGCGTAATGGGGTGAATAACTTTCGCAACACTCATGTTTGGTCAGTAGAAAATCCGCACGCTGTCCGTCGGGCACATTTTCAACAAACATTTTCGGTGAATGTTTGGGCTGGCATGGTGAACGTTATGCTCATTGGACCATTTATTCTCCCAAATCGATGGGACGGGATGCAATACCTAGACTTTTTACGCAACATTTTGCCTTCCTTGTTAGAAGATGTGCGATTAAGTGCAAGACAATCAATGTGGTTTCTGCACGATGGTGCACTGCCCCATTTTAGACGCGAACTGCGTGACTTTTTGAATGAATTATTTCCGAATAGGTGGATCGGACGTAATGGACCCGTAGCGTGGCCTCCGCGATCTCCAGACTTAACACCATGTATTTTTTTCTTTGGGGAGAAATGAAACGCTTAGTGTACAAAACTGAAGTGCATACGGTTGACAAACTTCGTCTC